TACCATGCTTGCCCAGGTACACCAATCCAGCAAGGCTTTGAAAAGACCAGCTTCAAGTGCCAAGGATCCACCATCAAAATCAGGCAGCCAACCGAACGATGAGCCAGATATGCAATGCCCAACCGCATATTTATGGGCAAAAAGGTTTTGTGACAAAGCTCGTTCCTTGAAATGTGTTTGCATGTACAACACTGTGAATGTGCACACAGAGTTCACTGGCAGTGGTTGCGCAGAGAGTGCTGTGGAATCAATAACATCATTTATGACCAAATCTGAAGCACCACAAGTCAACTTTCGATCTATGGCTGACATCAAACCCAGTTGCCGTTCTGTTGCCATGCATACACGCGACTTGATGTTGTGTGGTATGATATGTTGTTGTTTTGTCTTGTATTTTTGTCTTTTGCAAATGGATCATCAACATGAATGCAATCTGTCTTTCAACCAAGACCCCGATTCATGTTGCTTTGGAGATATCTTATCATTGTTGCCGGAGAAGACCCTGCACGCTATTGACAAGCCAGTGTCAGAACAGGCAGGTCAGCTTTCCATTCCATGTGGGTTTCTGTCAACTGTATGTTTGTGTGCATGTGTCTTGTCATTATGTTTGTTTCTCTTAAGGGAGGAGGGGGGCTCGTGCTAGGTGGCTATATCTTCGGCAGACTTGCTACAAATACCTGGAGTAAAGGCCCGTGATCACAAGAAGTCTTTGAGCAAGATCCTGACAAAAGACTTCAAGCTCAAGGTTGCATTGGGGAAGGCACACAAAGGTTGGGAGTTACTATGCATGAAAGGCACACAGTGTAATGAACCTCAAGACGCAGTGGAAGAAGCAAAGAACACACTTTCTCACCTAATCAAAGAAGGAAAGAACAGTGAATCCAAGAAGACGTTTGTTTTTTCCAGAAGGATACTTGGAATAGACACAGTCAGTCATTTTCTAGGCTATGTCCATTGGTTTGTCAATGGTTTGTCAATGTGTATTAGAACAGCACAACAACTCCCAAACAATGGTTACTTCGTCAATAGTTCGTCAATGGTTCGTCAATGGTTCGTCAATTCTTCAGGGTGTTCGTCAATAGTTCGTCAATCTACCATCTAAAGTTTGTCAACGATTGACGAACCCATAAATATTAACGAACCATTGACGAACTATTGACGAACTTTGTAACATTCTGTTTTATTGACAACCTGTTGACGACCATTGACAATCTTGGTTCAAATTAAGCACTATGATGGTTGTATGAGACTCACACTTGACACAATCTGAGGAAAACAATGGATGAGCTCATTCCAATCATCGTGGATGACAAGACGGCTCTCGATTTGCAGAACTGGTGCTACACTCACAAAAAGAACTGCACTCGTGGACCTTCACACGCTTCAGAAGACAATGATACATTGAATATGGGCATCATGGGTTCACCCTGTGTTGACTACAGCATGTGGGGGCAACGCTTGGGCTATGAAGGAAAGAGTGTCCCAGCATTTTTTGACAATGACACCCAGCTATACCCAGCCAATGAACATGTGTGATGTGTGTTGTTTTTTGTCGGCGCAATTGAAGCCATAACAACTACAAGAACTAAGGATCAAATTTATAAAGGACAGCCACCTGGACCTGATCCTTCATGAGAACGTGAGTCAATTTCCGCACGACAAAATGATGGATGTATTAGGCAAGTAGTGGTCCAAAAAAGTCAATGGCAGTTTTGAATATGAATTGTACATTCTGCAAAAAAAAAGCAATTTCCTGACTAGGACAAGAGTTCAAATTGGAGAAGGTGTGGATCTGTGATCCTACAGATGTGGGATTTCCAGTGGCACGCAAACGGAAATATATGATCATTTCCCGCATCCAAAAGAAGATACAGAGCTTTGGAGTGATTGGTATGTCATTGATTCATTGATGCTTTGAATAATTGAATATGTTGAGTCGTTTTGAATGACATAGAATTGCGTTAGTTGAATCAACTTTGTTAGGATGCGACTCAATCTTGATGAGCTGCTGACATCATTTTCGAGGAGGATTGATGAGAATGGCATATCTTCCTTTGTGGAGATGTTGCCTGAGGTCAATTACAAAGACGTTTGTTCTGGCAGCTATAACAAACGTACCTTGTAATCATTTGAATTTTTTGTTCACAATGATAAAGTATATTGAACTTCACTGTATGCAGTTGTTGAATTCTATCCTCAGAGTACTCGTGAGCAAAGGCAGGAGGGACTACGAGCTTCTCTACCCACAGGCTTTGGCATATGACCTTATGCAAGACCCCTATCACCGCCCAAAACGATCAGATGCTATCCTATCTACTTTGACAACAGGATGCAGTAAGGTCTGGCTTGCCAATGAGCGTCGCTACATCACTGGGCTTGAACTAATAGCGTTGCACTCTATCCCAGCCACTTCGCAGCTTGCGAGGTTGATGCAGTGTAAGCAAGTTTGTGCTGATGCTGTGTCCAACACGATGCAAGCATTTTTGGCTGGAAATAGTATGCATGCAGCCAATATTGGCACAGCAGTAGCATTGTGCTTGTATGGCACTCACAGCATAGTGAAGTAGTGTTTTGATTGTGTGATATTAGATAGTTGATTGTGTTTGTTGATTATTGTTCAAATATATAACAAGTTCAAATTAGTTAAACATTTCTTGCTCTTCAACAACAGCAACTATTTACTGTATGGTCCAAACGCAAACAACTTCCTCTGCAAGAGTGCTTGATCCATGTGGGAAGCTACATGTGATCCCTCCGAGGGTTGAAACCACTTGTGACCAGTCAAATGTGCATCCAACAAATCGGCTCATGTGGGAAAGCCACATGTGATACTGATCTATGTGGGAAGCTACATGGGTCACCGAGATTTATGTGGGTAAGCCACATGTCAGGTTGCACAGACAGGCCAGATTCATGTGGGAAATCCATTTGCGGTCTGGATCCATGTGGGAAAGCTACATGTGAACACAGTGTGGCAACCCTCTTAATTGATTGGTGTCGGGGAGGAAATCTGAGCATAGTGTGTAGTACGTAAACTCGTGTATAGATGTGACAATGTGGGAAGCCACATGTGGTCATGCGAGTAGAGTGATCTGTTTTTGGCATATGTACAGCACGTGCTATAGCATCATTCTGAATCATGTGGGAAAGCCACATGTGATTTCATAATTCAAGTTAAACTTCTTGGGAACAAAAACGTGTTGTCACTGGTCCTGTAATTCATCGTGCTGTCTACATGTTTGCTTCTTTGCACAATGGTATGGTGGAGCTAAACACAAAATGATTGATGAGATTTGAATTAGTCTGGAGAAGCTTGAGTTTCCACAGCCATTTTGGTGAATGCCAGGAAGGAGTATATAGTTTGCTTGATTCAGGGAGCTTTTGTTGCACCGTTGTGGTTTTGCGACATGGCGAAAGATCAAGAAAAACCTGACGACGTTGAAGAGGTAGTACCGCCACCGCCAACGCCGTCAGAAGCTATTCTTCGAGTTATGTCACTAAGTTTGCACTAGGGTTCTTTTGAAATTCAAACTCACTATACTTAGATGAGGATAGATGATGACACTGACACTGACTAGACCTGTTTCCCCTACTGGCCAGGTGTCAGGATTGCCGGGAAGTGCATCCTATCACTGAATCCATCAAGTACGGCAAGCAGTGGAAGTGCAGACCGTGTCACTCAAGTTATCGTTACTGCAGAGATCATGATCCATCATGGCACTGCTACAATCCTGAAGAAAAGCGCCAAACAATTGTCGCCAACCGTTCCACTTCTCAGCGTGGAGTTGCACGATCTTTGAAGGCCGTCCACAAGGCAGTGTTGTGATTGAAACACAGTACAATGTGTTAATATACAATGATTAAACAGATTTAGTTGGTGTGGGTTGAGCTTGGAGGTTGAGATGGAGAAATATGATGATGAGCAACAAGCACTTCCTTACCTCACCAAGAGCAGGCACCTACAACTAACCTTGCTTTGTAGATATACATGGCTAAGGTCAAATTTGCAATATACTGTTCGTTGTTGTTGGGCCACATTGTGAAACTTGTCATCAAGCCAAGGTTCCTTCACAAGTACAAGAAGTGGAAGGGCTGTGACAAAGAGGTGGCAGAGCAAAAGTGGAACGAGTTCGTTAGGGATTCAAATGTCCGCAGGAAGCTTGATGTCGACGGAGAAATTCTTCTGGCTTGTCCAGTTGTGGGCACTTCCTACCATATCAAAGGCCACAAGATTGCAGACCACCGATCAGTGCAAGAGACAACAACAGCAGGCGTTGGAGACGCTGATGCTATCCGGGAAGTACGTGACAGCACCTCGGCAATGACACTTGATACTTGAGACTCTCATGACACTTGATACTTGTGACTGACTTGACCATTTATGTGTTGATTTGACCTTATCTGAGATCTACTTCGATCTCAGCTTGATGTGGAAGTGAATATTGCTGCCGTTGGTCCAAACCAAGGCCTGGCCAAGGTGTTTGTATTGGAGTCGAATCTAGATCATTTCGATTTTGATCTTATGGGTTCCATTTTCCTTGTTCAGTCACCCGTTCAATCCGTGGCCATGCAAGGGACTGTGCCTGGGCCTGCACCCAAAAGAAGGAGGAAGCTGGGGGCAGGTAGTGATAACAAGGATCCAAAACGAAAACCGCAGCCTGATGATGTTCCAGAGTCGGACGCAAGGGAAGACCACCATGATCCACAGGAAGACAACGGAAGACCGAAGCAGCCCAAAAAACCAAAAACTGATCCTGCTGTCAAAGAACGCTTGGACAAGCTGGAGAATGAGAAGAAGCTGGTCTTGACTCGGGAGAAATGGTCTGGAAGATTAAAGGCTACCAATATCGAAGTCACAGAATCCATAGCAGCTGCAGAGCAATTTGAACAAACTCAAGAGCACCCCGGCTTGATTTAGTATATCACACACAGTCCATAATATACTGGTTGCTCTGTTTTATTTTGTGCCTTGAATCAGGCTCCGATCTGAAGTCACGTCAATGTTCCTGAGATTTGCAGCCTCTGGTCCTGCCGTGGATTTGCCTCCACCTTCGAAAAAGACAACACTTTTGGGCCGAACCGATTTGCCTGAGCCATCACCAGCATCAAAAACAAAGATGAAGAGCTTGCAAGAGCCTACCAAGAAGGGCCTAGCAGATTTTGAAAAGAATATGGCTTCCCATGAATCATCTTTGAAGAAAGGCCTCTCCGAGTTAGACAAGGCGACAGTAGAATTCCAAGAGCTGGCAGGAGCTGAAGCAGAAATGAAAAGGCGATTGAATGCGAAATTGGAGAGAAAGGCCAAGGCTTTGGAAGCTGCTGCGAAGCGAGGGTGCAGGCAGGGAACTCTTGCAAATAGGAGAGAGAAACATAGAGAGAGAGAATAGTTCACAGTTTTCTAGATAAATCGATCATGACTGCAACTTCAACTTTGGTTTAAAAAGAAACAACACCATTGACACGGAATTAAGTAATCACCCTGTTTCAGGAAGGCCAAAGAGAATGCTGAGCATGATGAAAATAACAAGAGTTCAGACTCAGAGGAAGCAAATCAACGTGAAGGTGAAGAAGGTGAGGCATGCCATGAAGACGCAAATGACGATGCCAAATCCAATGAGGCGCCTGGCTCTCCTTCAGGCAGTGAACACAAGAATGATGAAGGTGAAGATGAAGATGGAGATGACAGTACAAGCTGGGCGATGACCAAATTGGACACATACTTTGACAGAAAGATGAACTCTTCAAATGTTGTCCTTCTTGAGAAGGTGACTGACCAGCAAAAAAAACATGTATTAGAAAGTAAATAGTAGTGCAAATGTATAGCATTATAATAAAGATGTTTTACTGTATAAAACAACTTAGCTGTCACATGTTTGTTCAAAACTCAAAACCATCCCAATCGCCTGATCAGGATGATGACCTTGATTGTTGCTGCAAGTTTGGAGCGTTCAATGACTCTGGTGCACCTGTGGAACTATTGCGCGCTAACTTTGAGTATGACTTTGATGCCTTTGGTTGGACTGAGAAAGAGTCCGACCGAATATACCATACCAATTTCAAGGTCAACCCTCAGTACCAGGTGTGTGCCCGGTTTCGGTTCAATGAAGTTCCAAATGAGTCTCATGTGAAGTTGCCCAAAGCCAAAAGTGTGCTGGAATCCGTTGGCGCAGGCTCTCTGGCGTTGATTAACCCTTTTTTCATTTGTTTCGTCAGTTCAGTAGCCACTGTATCCCGGAATTTCTGCTAGAGGGAATACAATATTACAATACTATACTAATACAAGTACTAATACAATATCGATCCATTTGTTGTCATGTTCAGGTTCAAAGTGGGCAACCAGCATTGAGAAAAACGATTGGGACAATTCGCCTTGGAGCAAATGGTTGGGGGCGAAGAATCACTACACCGGAGGACAGTTTCAATGGGTTGGCCTTCCAGAACTTTGTTGGGGAAAATTCATTTGGGTGAATCAAGGAGGAAGGCTCATTTTTGGATTGCCAATCCAAACATGCATCATGGTGCTGTGCGATGCAAAGAAGCTGAAGGCAGAAGACATTGATGATATCAATGATCTTGCAAACTTCTTGGTCGACATGTCACCGAAAGACTTGACATCCAATGGCGGCTTCTACATCTATGTGAATGAAGGACAAGGCATTGCGGTGCCTCCTTTGTACTTGATTGCGCAGACCAATTTTGGCCACCTCAAATCCAAGGACATTGCACCCAACAGCCAGAAGAGTTGTATGTCAGACATCCTAGATCCTCGGAGATATCTTGCCATGTTTTTAACGCTTTGAGTCCTTGAGTTCAAAAAATCACTTCACAACATTACAACATATCCACTTACTTTCAATGCAAGCAAGGAATTTCCATTCCTCACCGCGAACCACCTGGACCATTTTGACATTGATACGTTGAAACGAACACAAGCTCTATGTCACAAAGCAGTGCCAAAGATGGAGAAGTCCTTGATTGCTTCTGAGCAAATGATCTTGGCAATCCAAAGGATGCGCTCTGGGGTCAAGGATGAGGAAACTACTGAGCATGATAGCAAATGTAGTGGTACTTGTCCGCCAACAGGAAGAGATCCAGCATGCCCAGTGATGCCATTAGATGATGTAAAGGATCTTTTGCGGCAATTGGAAGCCCTTCTATCTTTGAGCCAGGAGGCCCGGAGACTGGTCCTAAGTATGTTTGTGAAGGGTGTGGCGGAGTGGCGTGAGTTATTTTGATTTTACAAAATAGTTTTAGTTTTAGACAATGTTTTTATTTTTTTATTCTAGATTCTCCATTCGGTTAGGCGAAGGTGGTTGATGTGCAAAGAGTGACAATCTTCCGCAACAAATGCGTTGCTTCAATGTGCAAATGGCTACGAAAATCTGGTTCAACAAATGGGGAATCGCTCCGAGATCGTCTTTCAGATCCAGAATTTGCTCATTTGGACGATCATTTGAAAGGTGCATGGGAGGAGCTTTCCATTGAAGCCATGAACTTGGCTTTTGATGTTCGGGGGCACTGTACTGGCACTGAAGCTAAGACGAATCACTGTCAATGTTTGTTCAACTTTGTGTGTGCGCTGTGTGTGTGTGTTGTGTTTCTTGACAACTTTTAAGTTTGCCACTGCACTATCATTAAAACTAAGGAGACTTGTGAGACAGCAGTGCAACAAGAAGGAATCCCGCCATCATCTTCAGCATCATCAGGAACAGCAGCACAACCAGAAGCAGCAAGTGTAGCTGAGCCAGCACATTCGACACCCGAGAAGACACCATCTGATCCCTTGCCTCCAGCCACGCAGGAGCCGACCAATGCAACAAAAGCAGGTGAGAAAACTCAACCAGCAAATCAGGATACTGATGCAAATGCAGCACAGGAGGGCACCATAGGGGGGAATGATGTCAATGATCAGGTTAAGCCACCCATAGTTGAGACTCCAGAAGTGCCTCCAGCCACGCAGGAGCTGATCAATGCAACAGAAGCAAGTGAGAAAACTCAACCACCGGGTACTGATGCAGATGCAGCACAGGAGAGCAACACGGGGGGCAGTGGCGGCAATAATCAGGTTCAGCCACCCATTCCTGAGCCTGAGACTCCAGAAGCACATGAGTCACATGAGGAGCTGAGGAAGACCAATGCAGATGCAGCAAAGAAGAACAACATTGGGGCCCATGGTAACAATGACCAGGAGACTCAGCCGCCCATTCATCAGCCAACACAGGAGGAGACGGAGAAAAGTACATTGAATGAGGAGAAACATTTTGCGAGCAGCAGCGATGGTGCCAAGGGTGGCAAGGATCAGGAGACTCAGCCGCCCAATGAAAGGACTCAAGAAACACAGGGTGATAAGGAGAACATCAATTCAAATGCAGCCAAGGAGGGCAGTGATAACAATGATCAGAAGACCCAGCCTCAGCCGCCCACAACTTCAGAAACACATGACAAGAAGGAGACGGCCGATGTGAGAGTGGATGATCAAGATGATCAAGCTTGGCGAGAACAAGATTACTACTCAATGCTGAACATACCTCAGACGGCGACGGCTTCTCAACTAAATTAAACATTGTTGCTTGAAACTTAAAACTGACATTCGATTCGACAATTAAATTGAATTTGAATTTGAAATCTGAAACATGTTCCAGCTGCAGTCCAGTTCCAGAACGAGTTCAGTTCAGCTCAGTTTCACATTTCACATTTTTCCAAATCCTAGTACTGGAGTTACTGGAGTTAGTTGTAGTGTAGTCATTGTAGAACTTCATGTAAGGTACAGGACGTGAAGAAAGCCTACAAGAAGGTCAGCTTGGTAGCACATCCAGACAAAGGAGGATCAAATCAGCGATTTCAACGTTTGCAATTGGCTTTTGAAACCTTGGCCGATGATGCAAAGAGGAGTTTGTATGATGCATCACTCCAAGCAGCGCAATCGACTTCACAAGAGCTTGATGATTTCTTTGCAGGCCTGGGTAATCCGACACGGAATCCAAAGACTCCAAAAGCGAAGGCGAAAACAAAGGCCAAGGCGAAGGCAAAGGCCAAAGCCAAATGCAAAGCTTCGCCAAAAAAAAAGAGTGGAACGAAGAAGGGCACAGCCGAACCTCAAACACCTGAGGATGAGAGGGTGACGTGTATGTATTATTATGATTTTGAATTTTGATTGTCAAATAAGTAATAGACAACTCCCTCTCTATATCATTTTTACAATTTCTGATTTCGGTATCCCAGGTCAAGTACTATCAAACCAACCAGGTGGAAGTCGACGAATTCTTCGACAAGCATGCTGGTGCCAACAAGAGGAATAAGAACACAGTGAAGGATAGTGGTGCTGCAAAGCGTGCACGCAAACCACGTTCTTGAACGCGCTCTTCGATGGAGATCGTGGCACTGGCAACCGTCCGTTAGTTTATTTCTTTTGATTCTGTTTCCTTTCCCTTACAACAGCATGTATTTTTGATATGTTTTGGCAATTTTTGTGCGTTGCCCGCATGGGGATGAGTCAGACATAATCACACATCCCTTCTTATGTATTGTGCTAAGCCATGTTATGTTCAACAATGACTGGTTGGTTGTTAGATTGTTTGATACATTTTTTGAACACTTATTTGACAGTGGTGCTTTATATTTAGATTAGTGGTTGTGTGAGAGCACAGCAACTTTGCTGACTCAAAGCGGGCATGACGCTAATTGGTCACACGCTGGCCCGGAAAAGATTTTGTAGATGGTTTTAGTGAAGAGATGTGAAGAGTCAAGAATCGACGGCCATGGCAAAGCGCAAAGCGCATTGCAAAGACCTCTCTTGCATCTAGGCAAGAAAAAAGGAGCTGACCTTGCAGTCCAATCTATGACATTTCCGGTGGAAGCTTTAAACAACGGTCGTTTTCTCGATTGTCGCTGAAATCATTGTTTTTTTGCGCACTTGGCCTTACAGACATCCAGTCGTAACACGCCCTTTCCCCGAAAGGGCTCGTTGACATTAGTATTTTTACATTTTCATAATTTTTAAATCATCTGGAAATCTGGTGATCTCTGAGAACAGTCCGATTTAAATTGTTTAAATTTCTTAAATTTTTGGAGGCTCCGAAAAAATTAAAAAAGATAGAAATTTAAATCGCACTGTGTTATTTTTTAAAATTTTTTTGAAGTTTTCGGGGCCTCCAAAAACTAGACGACGAGTGGCCCGAAAGCATTTTTCATCACGTAGGAAGTCAGAGTGTGAGTTGTCTGTTAAGTGTTCAGTGTGTTGAGGTAGTGTGTGGGTCTCTGTGTGTGTATCTATGTCCGTGTGTATATGAGTCTCTGTATGTGTGTGTGTGTGTTCGAGTAAGTTGAGGCAGTGCGTGGGTCTCTGTGTGTGATGTGTGTGTATGAGTCCCTGTCTGTGTGTGTGTCCATGTCTGCGCTGGTGAAGGTCTTCACTGTAGATATAGTGAACGAAGTAGCGCGCAGGCCTCCCAAACCCCCCACCGGCGGCCAAGCGGTGACAGCCCAGCTCATCGTCGTGCATTTGAGCTGCTGGTAAGGGGAGAAGCAGCGTGCACGCCTCCAGGAAATCTCACTGAAAAAAACGAGCTGGAATGAAGACAGAAAATTACCAAGGCAGGTACGCAACAAGTTTGTCGAAGCAGTGACCTGTCAGAGGAGATGCGTCCATCGATATACGATCAGAGGTAACGTTTCCTTCACTCCAGGACTCCAGGACACAGCTTTTCTAGGATGTCCGCGCCTATGCCAGACCTTCTGCAGATCAGGTTGCTGGGCCAGAGGGTCAGCTTGAACCATCACGCATTTCTCCAGGCTACGTATTCTGGTTACTTTTCGCAGTGCAAGCTCTGAACCTCTCTCACGCCACCGCGAGCTCGGTAGAACAGCGTTCACTCTCTGCTCAGCTCGCAACTCGCCTGTGTCTACGGAAACGCTCCCCCGAAAAAATGTCTAGCTACGTCCAGGTGTACTGTGCGTTTTGTGTTCAGTGTGACGTGTTCAGTCTAGTGTCTCGAGTCCGCGTATCGGTCTCTGTGTGTGTGTCAACCCCTGGGCCAAGGGTTCACCATCACCACCACCTCCACCACAGTTTCACACGCAGGGGGCGACAGGGTCGCTGGGACTGATCATCCCTGTGTACCTGCACTTTCAACTGTTGACCAAGCTTTTCCACTCTCGATTTGATTCATGGTGGTTTTCACGATAGACCCCAAAACATTTCCCTCAGCTGCTTTCAGCCGCCGATCTTCAACCGCGTTTCTGCAGACAAGTGAACATTTTGTTCAACAATTCAGTTGCTCTGACCCTTTCACCTTGCGTTTCCCTCATTCCTTTTGACCTGGGAACTGAGTTAACTGAATACAATTGTCAGAGTGTGTTTCGCTCAGCCGTCCCACTCGGGTGCTGAGTGTGATCCCCGTCATTGGGGCGCCGTTTCATTGGGAAAGCATTAACCGAACTCACCACCGCTCACGGGAACTCCACTGGAATTCACCTCCACTTCCACCGAATTAACTGCCACAACGGCCGCCGGGCCTAAACACGGGACGTGCCATTTCGCAGAGATTGCATTTTTCCGCATGATCTTGCATATGTGCTCAAGCAATCTGATCTGAGTTTCCAGCAGTTTAATTCGATTTGCATGAACACACTACCACACCACATACTAACATTCCACATGACGACAGCTCCTACTTGTCCACAACAACACATACCCACTTGCCGCACACGCAGTACGATTTTAATTTTTGAATGATTACACCAGCTGCAGTCTCCGCTGCCGAGCCGCGCCGCCGCCGCCGCCATTGCGAAGATTTTGCCACACAGCTGTCACGAGTTTTTCAACAGCCCTTCACTGGACGCCCCATGCAGTATCCCTGGCCATACCCACATACAACACCACCTCCACTACCCACCGCACCAACACAACCGACACCACACTTGACACATCCACATACAGCGCCAGCATTTCCTTATCCACAACATCCGGCATTTCCAGTACCACAACACCCAACATTTCCAGCTCCACAACCTATGTCCATTCCAACTTCAACACCTTTTCACTCAGCACCACCAGCTTGCAATGCCGTATGGTCCCCACTCCACATGGACCCTCGTACACCCTTCTCAGCCACAACCCACGCAACCACAAACCACATATCAACCGCAGGCACCTCCCCCATCCTACCTGGTGCAACAATTACACCACTCACCACCTACCGACCCCGCCACAGCCACCCCAATTCAACCACCTCCTGCACCTCAGCAGACCCTTCCAGCTACCACACCAACAGAACCCCAGTGGCACATGCCGCAAGGGGTCTGGCAACCTTACTCCGCATTCCCCCCAGTTACGCAACCTTTGCACCATTCTCCATCACAACCTCAACTGGCACTCAGTGATTCACCACAAGATCCACAACCACAACAGCAACCTGCACCACTGGATCCTAACAACCCAGTTCCCAACACAGCAACCACGGCCACCGGCTCCCAACCCTCTCCATCGCCATCCATCGCCTCTCCCCCACCGGCCACAGTGGCCCCTGACCCTGCCACCGGAGCACCAGCCAACACAGTTTCACCTGCCCAACCATCCCCCCATCCACCCCACAGCAGTCGCCGCCACCATCACAAGAGCCGCCGCAAGACCGACCACCACCGAAGCGGTCGCCATCGACATCGCCGTCGGCGCAAACATCGCCACCACTCCACGGCCACCAAACATCACAGTTCCTCCTGGCGACACCGCTCGCCATCCACATCTACATATTCCTACTCCTCCACACCCTCCCGCAGCCGCTCCAGGCAACCGATCGACCTATACGACCCAACACAGACGCCCCCGCAGCAGACAATACCAACACTGACACCTCGAAATATCCACTTACACCAGTGGTCCGTCGACCATCCAACCGATGGCGACCCACACAACACTTTCAGACCTTATCGCCAAAGGAGCAAATCCTCACTTGGCTTGACTTTCATGCTGACCAGCTCGACGCTTCCAACCGACCTCAACATCAATACCTGGCCAACCTCCTCTTCGACTGCAACATCACATACAAAGACATCACTGATTTCCGGCAATACACCTGTCAAGTGGAATGAAGCCACCCAGCAATACGATCAGTTCCAATACAATGCAATCTCACTACCTTACCTCAACACCAAAGCCTCCAGAACATCACCACCACCCGTTTCCCGCGCCACCTCCACTCACAGGGAAGTTGCCCACATCAACGCCGGACACACCGGCCCTGTCGGCAACATCACCAACATTCTACGACAAGGCCGTTTCCTACCCAGCACACTCCACTTTCCCAACTATCCCGGATTCTTTGCTCAAGGCGTCCGCATTACCCACAACCAACAGGCAACTCCACAAGAACACCCACTCCCTCATCGTCACACTCCTGGCATGGGGCGCCGCCACGAAATACACTTCTGGCGGCGAAGAGCAGGCTATGACCCTTCTACGCGACCACCACGGAGCCGTCTTTCATCAGAAAGGCAGATGCTGGGTCATCCACCCCGACCATGCCATCGTCAAAGGCCTGGCATGGTCCATCAACTCCACCCCACCGGACCTATGACCCCTCCACATACCACATCCCTGCAACCACCCACGCCCGGCTGTCAGGCGTAAGCCTCTTAAATCCGGGCGCCGGCCACGCGCCCGTGTCCTCGCCGGAGGCCTTCGGTTGGTAACCGAAGGTTATAGACGGTCGCGCCCCCTGCCGCCGACCCTCGTTCCCAAAACGGGGGGACCCCGTCGTCACTACCGGGTCACTGATGCCCCTGTAATTTACAGTGTATCGTGTGTGTGAGGTATAAAAAACACTGTGTTTTACAGGGTTTTGGGCCCCTGGGCAGCCGAGAATTTTATGTTGGCGATGTCAAAAAACGTGAGTTTTTCCAGTGTTTTTGCTTTGCAGGAAGGAAAAAATCGTACAATTTGTATCGGAAGAATTTGTCGCCATCATATCCCCAACATCTGCTCAACATAGCCAACATATCCCCAACATCTGCTCAACATAGCCAACAAGATGGATCCACGTAGGGCCAACATAGGCCCAACCTCGGCCAACATACGCCAACGTCGGCCTAACATAGGCACAACATAGGCTCCACATGGGCCCAAGATGTGCCCAACATGGACTACATGGGGCCAACTTGGCCCAACCTAGGGCGAAGATGCGCACCAGATAGCTTCATTTTGCTCAATATAGGCCCCACCAAGGCCAACAGACAGAGATAGAGACAGAGAAGACAGAGACAGGGAGAGAGAGAGAGAGCGAGACAGAGACAGAGACCGACAGAGACCGAGACGGAGAAAGAGACAACAGAGACAGGCGACCCAACCTGGGTGCGAG